TCAAAATGGAGGCCTGAATAAAACGGGAGGGTTTAATTATTGGCTCATGAATGACAGCTGTGACGTCTGGGGAAAAGTATTCACACCCTCGGAGGATTCTGAAACTATAATCACGCTTCAGTGTTTTCTGTTCCTCATTTTCTTTTGGATTCAGGTCTGGACTTTGATCTGAGCTGTTGTATCAGAGCTCTGAGTGTAGATCTGACTGGAAGGTGAACCTCCAACCATAGGAATGGTGGGTGGACCAAAAAATCGAACTCTGGTCCTCCGACAAGCCTCGGTCTCTGTTCGGTTGAAGTGAACTTTGGTGAGGCTTGAATGCCAAGAGGACTGGAGACCTCTTTGTAAGCAGGAAATGGACTACAGGGCAGGGCAGGGCAGGGCATTCTGGGTAAACACAACCAAAACAAATGCACAAGCCTGTCGCTAGCAGGAGACATGCATCTGTCTCTCTTACCAAAGAAAAAAATAAATTCTACAACTACTGAAATCTGATGCCGCTACATTTTTGTTTACACTTCAGGAGTTCAGTGTCTTCTTCAGAGATTTTCGTGTTGTTTTCTTCTGTGTTCTTGGTGCAGCGCCACCACAGGCGAGGAGGGAAACAGGTTTTTCAAAGTGTTTGGTTTGTTTGACACAGTGTAGTCTAGACGAGAACAGCAGCAGCTGAAAATATAAAAGTGTTGCAATTTTGATCCCTGATCAAACCCAGTCTAATGGACCATCAGGTGTGAAAACAAAACTGTCCTGTCTTATAGATTCTTTAAGTTCTGCAGCTCCTCTAGTGTTACCTTTTCTGCTTATCTACTTAATGCTCTAGTTGCCATGCCAATTGATTGCAACAGATGTTAGTTTCTTACTCTCTCTGTTCAGATGATGGGTTGAACTGAGCTCTGGGAGATATCGAATCTCAAGATGTTGTTTCAGAACCAAACGCTGCTTTTATCTTTAAAAGCGCAAAAACAGCAGCTTTCATTTAGCATATGATTCAGACACTTATTCCACCGTAGCCTGTTATTGCTGTTTTCCTGCTACTTGTGTCCCAGTCTACTTTTTAATAGTGTTGCTGTGTTTCTGTTTGCAGAAGGGACAGCAGTCTGGTGAAAGAAGAGATCAAAGCTTTCCTGGGGAACCGGAGGATTTCTCAGGCTGTCGTGGCTCAAGTGACCGGTTAGTAGCACATGAATCCACTCTGCTGCCAACTCGGCAACTTTCTTGCTATATTTAGCAACATTTCCCACAAAAAGAAAATCTGTAACGGCCAAAATCGTAATCGACAGGTCAGACTTTTTGAAGCTCTTCGATCGGTGCACCCCTACGTTAAATACAGGTATAATAAATGATTTTTTTATATATTTGTAGAATAATTTTTGTTTATTTTCTTCAACAACAGTCCCAGTAATAATTGTTTTAATTAGTTAAAAAACAACTAAAAAGCAAATATTTTTTACTTAATTTTGCACCCATGTTTGTTAAAAAGTTGGATTTTGTTCTTTTTACTTTAACACCTAAAATAGAAATAAAATGTTGGTTCTTTGAAAAAAAAAAAAAGTTGGCAAATTTTATTTGGTAGCTATTTATCCAAAATGTAAAGTTGTTTTCTGGCTCTAAGCAGATTGATTGTTGATTGTGGCTCTTTATATTATAAATGTTGCCTTAAACTGAAGAGGAGAGAACCTGGATAATATAACTAAATCTAAATAATCTTCCCTCATCACTTCCATGTTGTCCCAATAGTTCACAAAAGTATAAAACGTGACTTTCCATCCATCTGCACTCTAAACCTGAATCCTTAGTTTTTTGGGATTTTTTTTTTATTTTTTATTTTAACACCTAAAAATAGAAATAAAATGTTTCTAACTGTAGAACGCATGCAGACCCCACATGGTGCCCTGGGTTGGTTAAGACCACATAGTTGCCCTTTAACCATCAGATTGTTGCATGTCAGGATTTGAGTTGCAGTAATGAACAAAGATGTTATCAACCAAAGGGGAAAAAATGCATTCTTTAACTTTGCCTGGAGGAATATGGTCTCATCCATCACACATTACTCTAAAGCCTTATCTAAAACTCCCATCTATGGCTCATATGGCGTTCATGTATAATTAAACCGAGAGCAGAATCAGACGTGAAAAGCTAAATAAGAGGCATTGTTTGTAAATTACCGAAGACGTCGAGGTGCATTTCTGTGATTGCCAGCTGTGATTGGAGGAGGAGGTGAAATCAAAGCCAAGACAGGAGAAAAACACTTCACCCTCACTCATCTCCTCTGTGCCTCTTGGGTCTCTGCTTTCTAATTATCCACGCGTTGTTCCGGCGCTGTGATTGGACATGCGGCTGTCTTTTTGCTTTCCAGGCATCAGCCAGAGCAGGATCTCTCATTGGCTGCTGCAGCACGGCTCCGACCTGAGCGAGCAGAAGAAGAGGGCTTTCTACCGCTGGTACATCCTGGAGAAAACCACGCCAGGTAACAGAGGGTTCAAACGAACCCCGGGGCAGATTTTCAGATCTTTAGACGAGGAAATGTGACGTCATGGTGGAAGTGGAGCTCTTCTCAATAGTTCCTTCCAGGCTTTTCTTTGGAAGCATTAGCGTGGAAAGCTTAGTCTCTGGAGCGGATGCAGTTTCTCATTATAGTGTGTAATAAGATGAGCTGGAGGAGTCAGCAATGCAGAGATGAATGCTGATCTCACCTCTACAAGATGAGACGTCTTAAATGTTAGCACACACACGTGAACACGTTTTACAGTTTTAGAATAAACAGCCCATACATGTCAAGATCAAAATATTTACAAAAACGAGTGCCAATGAGAACATGAGGGGACACCATGATGGCTGCAGTTTAGGATAAACTATACAACATCATCTAGAAATATTTAATGGAACCAAAAATACTTGGCAGCGGCTACATGTGACAAATTTTACATAAGAGCTCCATATTCAGCACTTCAAAATGACCAGTTACGGAGTCAGCTGTGCATGTTTACATAATCCAAGGAGGTATACAAAGTAGTGTGATGTGAAAACAGTGTTTCCATTGCGGTTTTGTGAAATACACAAAGTTTGATACGGCTGGAAAAAACACTTCATCCTAGAGCAAAACTTTTTATCAAAAAACGTCACTTTTTTCAAAATTGGTATTTCAATATTCATTTATTTTCATAATTTTAAATTGCATAATTTTATGTTCAATGGAAATGCAGCTACTTGCGTATTTTAATCTCATGCTATGCCATGCAGGTGTTTTGTCTGCATTGATTAAGTCTGACTCACTTCCAGATGCTGAATGCTTGAGGAAGCTCCAGTGGCAGAAAATACCAACTTGAATAATTCTACCATTCTATTATTGACCACTTCGAGGCGCTGGTAGTGTATTGATCCTGTTGATCCTCTTTCATTCTTTAATAAGGAATAAAAGAAGACATTATGGAAATACTGAGAGCAACGTACTGTTTCTACTAGTGGCTCTGCAGTTCTGGTTCTTTCCCGTGGGAGAACATGTGCTCACCGTTTACCGCTCTGGTTACCCAAACCACTGTATTTCAGTTTGCATCTCCTGACCACGAACACACCTGCACCCAGCCGAGCGGCTTCGCTCTCTGTGCAGCGCGTTCCGTTGTAACCCATGGCCGGTTCTGCTGCTGCTCCAGGTGCCACTCTGAACATGCGGCCAGCGCCGCTGCCTCTGGAGGAGATGGAGTGGAGGCAAACCCCGCCGCCCCTCGCCACCGCCCCCGGAACCTTCCGGCTGCGCCGGGGAAGCCGCTTCACCTGGAGGAAGGAGTGCCTGGCTGTGATGGAGAGGTGAGGGTGGAGGAGACGGCTTCATAACGCCACGGTTATTTCCTCCAGGAGTAAAAGGCAGTCTGGACAATGAAATGACTTCCAGTGTCTGCAAAATCAAACATCACCCCAACAATATTGTTGATATTGTCCTTTGTTGTGAAATTAAATGAATCGGTGTGATTATTGTTTCCAGCTACTTCAATGACAACCAGTACCCAGATGAAGCCAAAAGAGAGGAGATAGCCAACGCCTGCAATGCTGTTATTCAGAAACCAGGTAAGCTACACTAACAAGTCCTCACCAAGAATAAATCAACTTTTATTTTACATAAGTCGTATTCTCTTCTTTTGGCTGTGCTCCGGTTCAGCCTTGTTGGGGACGTTTGTCCTTTCTGATTTAGACGCAATTAAACTTATCTTAACCTGCATAGTTATGCTAACACTTTCCTATTTCCTTTAATTTTAAAGGTTAGTAATTGACTGAAAAGAGGGCATGTCTTCACATCCTTAAAAAGTCTTAAATTCATTCAGAAGTAAAAATAACTTGCCCTTAAATGCTGTAATCACAAGTTTTGTCATATCAGGACTATTTAATCTGTTTAATTTTCTGTTTTCTCACAGGACTTTACTGTTGCATCAACGTTTGAGTCGCATACAAACTTCTTTGCATTCTGTTACTTGAGGCAGCAGCAGCTGGCAGTAACTAGGCGCTAATCTACCCTTGCTAGCTAGCTTACTAGCTTTTTTTTTTTACATCCATCATGGATAAGAACAGACAACGTTGGCTGGACAACGTTCGTTTTCGCCACTGGCTCACTTCTGTTGCCAGTCAGTAAACTTTATTTGCTTTTTTTTTTTTTTAGATTTGTCACATTTTTACATTTGATTCTAAACTCTATTCATAATGGTCTTAAAAAGTAGCTAAAAGATTGTGAATCATAAACATCTAGAAACTGTTCTATTTGAAGTGAGGTTCAACTTAGAATGCTTTACTTCCTTTTCTTGTTTCTAAGGAGATTGTTCAGAGTTGACTTCTTGAGACGCATCAATTAGAGATTATTTCTCAATGTTTCAGCTGTAACTGGTTTGATTTGAACACTGTGTGAACGTCTATCTGCCTGTAGTGCCAAGGAATTTATCCGTCTCTGTGGGTCACACAGAGGTAAGGGGCGTAAAATATGCTGCAGCGTTTTGTTTTCAGACTTTAGTGTGTCAGACATCACGACTGAAGGAATCTCAAATGCCGCCAGCGACGTTTCTGTGAATCTAAACATTGTGGAAAAATATTTCCATTAATTAAGAGGCGTGTTAAAGCAAGACTGCTTTGTGTGTTTTCTCCATAGGGAAGAAGCTGTCTGATCTGGAGAGGGTGACCTCCCTCAAAGTCTACAACTGGTTCGCTAACCGGCGCAAGGAGATCAAGAGACGAGCTAATATTGGTAACGAGGGCGCCACTTGCTGGCAGAGCACTTTGTGTTCTAACGAACGTCACATTTAATATCTGATGAACTGAATGTTCACCGTAAAACTGATAATCCATCCTCTTCCTCCAAGAAGCAACAATCCTGGAGAGTCATGGGATAGACGTTCAGAGTCCGGGTGGACACTCCAACAGCGACGACATCGATGGGAATGACTTTGCAGAGCAGGTAGAGTGGCACACACGCGCACACACACACACACACACACACAGAACTAAGCAGCAGCCTGTGTGCTTGGCATAAAACTCGAACATAAAAAGACGAGCTGCGGCGTTTCAACTGCTGCTTACCTCGCGAAACTCTGTAGTCAGCTCTCACTAAATATAGAAAAAGCACACTTGCTTCACTCTGATGCATTGCCCTCATTAACAAGCCTCCCTGTTGTTGGAACAAATGGAAGCAGAAGTAAGGCAGTGAGCCGTCTCTATCTGTTCCCCCGTCTCAGGCCTGTGACCTGCCCTACTTCGACAAGAGACCTCTCAGCCGACCGTTTGGCCTTTACCGCCTGGAGCCCACCTCACCTACACAGGTAACTGGGAGAAGAATGTAGTGAGGACTACATTCACTGGTGTCCTCATGACAGGGGCATGATGGGGTGAGGGCAGCAAAGCTGAAACCTGATTGGCTCAAAGAGAAATGTACATGAAATACAGTGATTAAGGTAAAATTTGGAATAAAATGCTCTAATCTACATCAGGGTTGTAACGGTATGCAGTTTGAGTTTTGAAGACAGTTTGGAAAAAGAAAAAAAAAACTTCCTGTTTGCTTATTTAAGCTTTGACTAGACCCCATATGAGAAAGCATAACTCTGTTCCAAATAAATTTGGGGAAAAGTCCACCAAAGTGACACCGAGGAGCGTTGTCACTTTTAATTTATCATTACAGCCCTAAACTGTTCAATAAAAGTTGGATTTCATAAGATTATGATTTTTTTTCCTCCCTCTGTTTAATGTATGAAAATAGATAAAGGTGAATATCTGCTTCTTAAAGTTGGAAATGTTCATAAGTTAAAAAAAAATTAATGACAAAATGTAAAAAGATAAAAAAAAAATAGAATAAATAATAAAATGAGTTTGAATAGTTTTCCATCAGGAACCAAACTTAATGTATTGGGATTTTATGTGATTGTCACAAAAAGCAGATAGTTGCTAGAACAACTAGCAACTATCTAGCTTCAATATTTTCACCAAAATTGAAAAATTCAACATGCATTTTGTTTACATAAATACCACTGACTGTCTGCTCAATTCATTTAATTATAACACAAGTGAATAAACGCAGCCGTTCTACTGACTGAGTTTGAGACATGGGGAGAATTTTTCAGTTTCTAGATGAAAATACCTTAAGCTACACTTTTCAAATTATTTAGAAGAAAAATATTTAATACACAATGTATGTTTCCTTCTACCTCAGAAATATTCTCTGATTTGTGTTCCGTCTCCTTAAATTCCAAAAAGATGCATTATTATGACAAACTGTAGAAAAGTGAGCTGAAAGGCTGATAAAGGATTGACTCGGGTTTTCAGCAGAGCACTGCAGCACATGAAGAGTTGATCATCAGACACCCTGTTTTGATTTTCCCGTTAGGACGACAGCGCGGCTCACAACGAGCATCAGGACCCCATCTCTCTGGCCGTGGAGATGGCTGCCGTCAACCACACCATCTTGGCACTGTCCAGAACCGGAGGCGTGCCCAACGACATCAAGACCGAGTCCCTGGAGGATGAATGAAGCGCTCAGGAATCGGGACGGAGCGAGAACAAAGCCCAGTCGAGACGGGGGACGACAGGGAGCGTTTAAAAAGACAAGGAAAAAAAAAAGACCAAAATAATCCGACTTAGTAAAATCGTCTCCGCTCCTCCCAGAACTTCCACGTAAAACAGTGATTACCCCCAACACTCCTCCCCCCTCCTCACCCTATTTTACTCACTATACCGACCCACCTGACAGACATTGCTACTGTAGGCTTTGTGACAGAAGAAGCAGCAGCCAGTTGTGAACCTCCCGCCTAACGGTGGCTCCTCTCTGGGACCGGGTCTCCCAGGAACTCCTCTCCCTTCCCAAAACAGGATACCTCTTCTTCTTCTTCAGTTTGTCTCTCCTCTTCCTTCCCTCAGCAGCCTGGTCGTCTGAGCCGATCCTCAGTCTCTCACCTCAACCTCAGAGAAGAAAAAAAAACGATGCACTGTGTATATATAGCGGACTTCTAAAGGTTCTCAGTCACCCTCACCTCATGACATACTACCTACACCCTCAGATTCACCTCTTCTCAGTGCAGAGCATCAGAAGAGGAGCCGTCCGCTGATGAAGAGTGCTTCCTCCTCTTCCTCTCCGGCTCCGAGGTGGTCGGCAGGGATCGTTTGACCCTCGGCGTGGGTCCAGTCAGTCTCTTGCCGAAGTTCTGCTTTCCTTTCCCTCGCAGTTGCGCTGCTACATTCGATTGACGCCAAACCAACTTTGCAAAATGTCTGTTAAAAGTAGCCTTACCTCCCCTCAGCTGGTTCTTCATATCCCACCGTTCCAAAATCTGCACAGTTCAAGTTTCTACCCAACAGCAGCTGCAGCAGGGTTTTTATTTTTAATCTCTTGTTAGACTCCCCTCAGAGTCATTGAGGATGAATCAACCTCCCTAAGATGTCCAGTAAGGGAACAGTTGCTTTGTTTTCCATGTCATCCATGCCAAAGGAAGTGGCTCTGTGCTGAGTGAACCCAAAGTGACCTCTAACTCCTTTGGTGTCGATTCCTCCTCAGTGTTCAGTGAAGCCTCTCCAGCTGCAGTAGCTCCACACTACAGCAGGCCTGTGTCTGGACTGGTAGGTATTGGCAGGCACTTATATTATACCCCTAAGCTATTTACTACTTCTGTGACGCTGCCTCTTTATAATGATAATAATGTAAGCTATGTGCTTTTTTTTTTATATATACAGCAGATATTAAATTAGACTGAATCCACACTGGAGATAAATATCAAAGAACTCTACAAACGTCTGTTTTTTTTTTTTTTTTCCTATTTCACCTATAAATAACCTCAAAGGGAAGCGTTGAAGGGAATCAGTCACTTCAGGTGTCTTGGTTTCTTCTTGTCCTCAATGAAAGTTCTCCAAACCCTGGCTGTAGATGAGCCTAGCTTCCTCTCTACTTTAGATGTATTATATTGTGGCAAGAAGTCGGGGAAACCCGCTAGCCTGGCTTTGTCCAAAAATTGCTCCTAGTGTTGATAAATGATTGGGTTGTCCAAAGGACAGGAAGTGGTGCAAAACTTCCCATGATTGACGGTTTGAGTCTCTACACTACGGTTTAGCCTCCATCATTCACTGCACCACAGCTCCATCTTGGGGTTCAAATGGAGTTGGTAAATTCCTACTTCCTGGTTGGGGGGGGGAACAGCACCTCCCTCTGAAGTCAGATTTTCTACTGGGAAACTAGGAGGAACTCCAACTACCCAAAGTTATGACTTATAAGGTTGACTTTGAATTTAAATACGGCTGCTCTGTTTATTTTCCAAGACATGCACAAGTAAGGGTGTGTGTAAAATCAGTGCTACACATGGTGCCTGTGACTACAACCTCAACAAATGAAAAGCAGTGTTTTGCTTATGGAAAGTAAAGCTTAAAACGTTTGTAAGAATATACTGTAGGTGTCTGTGGTGTGTTGAAATTCCAATTATTTTTTTTAAACTCAGGTCTGATGTCTAAACCGACTGTCTGATGTAACTGGAATACAGCAGAACTACGGATTGTATGTAAAGCTGAACCCAGTAATCAGGTAATAAGTTAATCCTAGGGCTCCCTGACCCCTAGGATAAGGGAGGTCATGTTGGTTGCCAACTCTCTCCTTCTGAGTTGAACCTCAAGTTTTCCTTATATTTACCCATTGGACATGCCCCACCCATGCACTGGGTAAAAAAAAAATACAACTCAATGAGTAAATCTCACTGACAGCAAATTGGAGTAAAAAATATACACAAATCAAGAGAAAATATTACTTTTGTGCAAGAAAATGTCAAATAATGTTCATTTACAGTTCTTAACTCCACATGACAATATTTTGCCCCCCAAAAACTCTTTCCTGTGGGCCATTTATATATATATATATATATATATATATATATATAATTTTTTTTTTTTTTTTAAGTCGAGGAAAATTGAGCATGTTTTAAATGGAGCGCCCACTCAACACCCTCCCATAGAATCAAACTGGTGTCAATGGCTCCATTTTTAGGATTACATTAGACTTTAACGCATCATTGGAACTTTCCAGCTTCTCATCCAAGTTAGTCAGCCATGGCTCATTGAAAACTTGCAATTGCTTTGGTAGCCTCAGGCATGTAGGGGCTGTGGTGGCATCCACCGTTTCCCATGAGCTGCAACGCTAAAGAAAACACAATATAATGTCTTCATGGTGACATTTGATCCAGTATTGAAATGGTTGAAGCAGCAGATCTAAGCCTGTAATGGGCTCTAACAAAAACCACTTGGTAACCACTGCTAAGCTAATATTCAGACACTCTTGTTTTTGTATTCATCTTGTTCTCAGACTTTAATACTGACCAAGAAGAGGATGTAAATCATTAGATTTACACAAGTCTAACACCCTAACATTAGCTGGGTCATTAGTTAGGCTGTCTGCTGAGGTTGACAATTATAGGTTTTAAACTTAACTTTTGTAAGAGTGGTTGATGTCACTCCTTTAGTTTTTACACAAACACTGAATTCAGCAGTATACAGTTGGAGATCTTGAGAAAGGTGAGACTATGCTATGCTAGGCTTGATCAAACATGTTAACTAAAACTCAGTCTTTCCTGTTAGTCTATTCTGCTTTGGATATCTTTAATGTAAAAATCATGTTCATTTTTGTATGAAGATATTATACAGCTAATATTTTCTGTATGGGGAAAAAAAGTCAACTGTCAAACTAACTCTTGGGGGCCCCCTATGGGTCCAGGAGAGGCTGTGAAGCTTATGTCGATTTGCCTTGAGCTCACTCACTATTCAAGATGCAAAGTGAGGAGATATTTCTGGACAAAGTCAGGCTAGCTGTGCGTTTCCCTGCCTTTATGCTACCATTCTACCTTCATGTTAAGCAGAGTCATGCTAATACTTTTTACCAAAAAAAAAGTGAATACAATTTTTAGACCACCAGGTACATGCAAGACTGTCCAATGGTTTTGGAGAACTGAAAAATAAACCTCATGGCAGGAAAACATATCCTGTGATTCTTCATATCTGAAATGATTTGATGTTTGTGATGAACCAGGTTACATGTTACAACACTGAAAGTGTTTAACTTCTCTTTTTTTTTTTTTTAAATACACATCTCATGCTCATAACTCCCCATGCTGGGTTCTGGTCTAGAAAGGCTAATCAACAGCTTCTGCTTGTAAGAAGCTAAAAAACAAAACTGGTTTTTAAAGGAAGTGGTTAAAAAACAAAAGTATGTATTTATGCTAATTTTTTTTATGGTAATGTACAAAGACGAATGACATGCTTTGAAATGAAACATGCTTTATAGTTAAATTAATGCTTTTTCATTTTACCAAACTTATTTTTCTATTATCGTTTTAGCATTCAGCTGTCCTCCATTGTCCGACTAACGGTTTCATGAAAAGGCCAACAAAGATGCACCTTATGAAAAGTATTGATGAGTAAGCTTGAACTGTACCCTCCACCAGTGTACTACAATAGTTATACACACGGTAGCTGGTGTAGCATTAACACGTCACACATCGTATCCCAGCTGTGATGGATGTCGGTGTCTCTACACACTAACCAGATCGGTTCAGGTTAATGAAGGGAGGAATACTGCAGAGTGTGTTCAGAGATTTTTCTCTCAATAACTCATATTCAGATGTCTGCCTTGAACTTTGACATGCCATGATCTGTCAAACTACTGGTTTGTGAGAGAGTGAGTGTGTGTGTGTGTGTGTGTGGTGGACGCTTACCAGAACGGAGGCGTCCTCTTACGGTGTGGCTACGTGTCGGTCAATGTCTTCAAGTGAAATGCCTCCCGGTTCATCCCACTATCACTTAGGAACAGAGGACTGAATGCTGTCGTATCAATCTCAAATATAGTTAAGTTCAAAATTACTGTATTGCCCATTTCAGAATTTAGTGCCTTTTTTGGACAGTAGACTGTTCTGTAATTAAGATGTAGTATATAAACATTTTTTGTACAGTTTCTTTGTCCATTTTTTAACTTGTGTTTATTTTAGTATGATATCTATATTATATATATATAATGTACAAGAGAATAAAGCTATATCAATGACGTTACCCATCTTGTCTTTCATCCAGTCTGAAGAGAAGAGAAACAAATAACCAATATGTTGTCTTTATTTTCAAATAAATAAGCATCCAAATTGATCTGCCTAAATGCAAATGTGTGTGTGTGTGTGTATATATATATATACACACACACACACGTGTTATGAATCAGAAATTACTCTTAATTTTCCCGCTCCAAGTATTGTCACACACAAAAAAAAAATCCCTAAAACAATCAACATACATGCTTGGCAGGAAGACGACCCATTTAAAGTAGATATTATTATTACTATAGTTATCAGAGTGCAAGTTTGTGTAAAAGAAACATTCATTCAAGAACCAGATTGATCTCATTGATCAACACTTCCAGCAGGACACATTTTGGTTGGACATGATCAAGGCACTCGTGTTTAGCAGTAGTTAAGGCACAGTACTCCACTCACATGCTCCAAATACACAAATATCATCCACAAACAGCATAATAATGTTAAAAGACAAGAAAAGTGAATATTAAAAAAAACTATGCATTCAAGTTGGAATTGGTGTCATCTAGTGAGCTCATTCCACAATATTAAACATTCAGAGAAGTTGTAATACAGTTTTCCTCATGTTCAGTACTTGTTAACGCAGGAAACCTTTTTTATATGAAGCTTCTAAACAGCTGAGCCATGATTCATGTAGGCTTTCGAAGGCTGCTGCACAACATGCAGAATCTGCTTCTGAGGTTTTCAGTGTCTCTAAAATAAATACTTTTCTGCAAATCTCTGCTTAAAACATTCTATATTTTTGTATTTGTCAGTGAAGTGATACCAGCTGTTCACACAGAAGTTCTGAGTGAGGGGCCAGATCCTGAATCCTAGATTAAACTTCCAGACGTACGCCACATTTCAAGTGTTCCACGATTTACGGTTCTCCCCTCTGCTGCGGCTGGCCGATCCAGTCTCACCTTTCGCCAGGGCGGTAAGAGCCGCCAAGTTTGGACTGGACCCGGACAGATTGGCACTACGACGCTTTTGCTGCTGGCGCCGGCGTTTGGCACCCCCACGGGTAACCCTGTCAGGCCTCACAAGCACTCCGTAGCCCGGGTTACAGTGGAAGTAGTGCTTCCCGCCCACAGAGCCGTCGTTCTTTCCTGCAGACGGACCAACAGAGATCCGTAAGGGGTGATGAGGAAAACCTGAACAGTAACAAGAGTCGCATTTCTCACCTGCCGGGAGCTCCAGTTCAACTCCAACCCAGGTTCCCTCGGCAAAATCCGTGGGCCCAACGTACCGCACCGTCCCACTCTTATTGGTCCCCACAGACACAAACTCCCCTTCCTTCATCCAGTCGGGAAGAACATCCGAAACTACTTCGTCTCCCTCCTCTAAGTCCGAGATGCTTTCCAGGCTCTCTGCCGGCACCGAGAGGTTGAGTCCCGCCCCGAGGCTGCCTTCCCGCCCCATCTGTGCCGGTTTACCACCTTCTTCGCTCACAATCTGCTGGAAAGACTTGAGGTCTGACGACTTGACTTTCTGAATCTTGAAGGGGTTGACTGCCGATGAACTGGACTTGGAGGGTTGGGCGGCACCGGTAGCAGCTTTAGTGGAAGACTCAGAAAGTGGTTTCAGACTGCCTTTGACTGTGGCTGAGGCTTGGGTGAGGGTGCTGTTTGTACCGGAGGGGTCAGGCAGTAATCCTTGTAGGGGTGAATCTTTAGGGTTAGAGTCTTCCATTGGTTGAGCAGCAGGAGTCTGGGTTACATCTGGAGCTGGATCTTGAACACCGTCAGAAGCTGCCTGATCTTGTTCCTGGTGCTGCGTAGCGATAGATTCTACCAGATTCTCATCTGCTTGGGTTTTACTCATAAGTAACGGATCGTGGTTATCCTCACTTGTAGCAACGATGTCTGGATGTTTTGTTGGAGAACCTTCAGAAAGATCCGTTAGCTGCGATTCTTCCTGTTCGTCGTGTCGTTCTCCCAGCGAATCGGTGTGATTCTCTGAACCGTTTGATTGCTCTAGTTCAGTAGTATCAGTAGTTGGAACTTGGTTGTGTTCAGCCTGGTTTTCTGATTGTGTTTCTGTACTTGCAGCAGCTTCTTTCAGACCCTTTGAATCAATGGACAGAGATGGATTT